ACCTTGTATCAAATCTTGCTAAGATGACAGAATGATGTTTGTTAATATATATATGAGGCCTCTCGAGTGAGTGACTGAGACACAGTGAGTAGTGTGGAGTGGAGTGGACACACACAGTGGACACAGTAATGTGGAGAGACAGTGGCAGAGAGAAGCAGAGGCACAGAGACAGGACAGGTTGTTCTCTCTGTTTCCTGTTGTTGCAATAAAACTCAGCTGACCATCTCACAGAGTACCTTCATTCTTGGACCACTTATTTCTGTCTTTGTTAAATAAATATTGCCATAAAAGTTCCTATAAGGTGTTATCAGTTTATAAGAAGTGGAGACCACAAAATGAAAGAATGTTCTCATACCGGTTGAACTAGGACGTTGTTTTTGCCATATAGAAGGTGTGTTCTGGAGTTTTGGTGAAGAGACTCCACGTACTCTCTTGCTGATGCAGCAAATCTATCCTCTGACATACTGCCACTAGATTGTCGCTTGCGAATCTAAAAAAATAAATAAATCAAAGAAATTGTCCGTAAACATCTCACAAGAACAAAACACCTATACATCCTCAGAGATCACTCCTATACACCACTGTACACAAACACCACGTACAAGAACTGAAACAGCCTCCACACTTACCCCCAGAGCAGGCCGACGGCTTGACGACACCTCTTGGCCCCGATGGGCCCCATGAATACGGTGACGCTGAACCAGCTCATTGGCAGATGGGTCTGTCCAGAAATGATCTGAAGTTTTTAGCTTAGTGTACTCCAGTGCACAGGGCCCCACTGAAAATAGAGTGTATATACACAGAAAAATAAATTAACCAACCATTTTTAAGATTAAATTTCATACTGAAAACACATTTGAAAGCTAAACATTTTATAACAACTCATGAATTGTATCGACTGAAACACAGAAACACTTGATGGATAAATACTGCACTTAGCATAAATGTCAACCCCTTGAGATGTTTACCTGTACCCTGACCTTCAAAAATCTGTTTTTCAGAAAAAATCTGTAGTATTTTCATGATGTATGCACGGGGTGGTGTGTGTGTTTGGGGTGGGGGTGGGAGAGTTACCCGTGTGACACGACACTGCCCACTCCTTCCTCCTACAGTCAAGAACCCGGACAGAGGCTCAGCTCAAGAAAAGCCTTGATTTTGTGACACAATATCATTGCTGCAGAGCAACTTATGAGGTGGTTATGTAATTTTACTGAGAGTTTTTATGTCTTGCAGGTGTACTGGTCACCTCGAGTAGAACAATCAAGAAAACTGTCTCTGACTACAGACCTCTGATGGACCCTTTGAAAAGAMCCGGGAGGGTCCTTAAGGAGTGAAGTACACAGCTCTGTGGAATTTTCATGCACATTTTAACACGTCACTTACTCTCTCAAGTGTGCCAGCCTGCTTTAAACAGGCCGTTTTAAATGGGTTATATACTGTCTAATGAAAAAATTATTCAGGTGAGAGTCAAAAACATTATGTTCCATCCTCAATATCTCTAAAACCACAGCAGCTGTTTTAATACTTACACTTCTGATGAAATCTCCAAAGGCTTAGCTTTATTTTGATACCAAGATTAATTAAGTAGAGTTTGTAAATGCTGAGATACATTCAGTTACATTTCAGCGTGGTGTTTTAAGAAAAAAAAACTTAAAGAAAAACCCTTGGGGGTTAAGAGGTTAAGTTCTCTTTGTTTTAATGCAAAACTGTGTGTTTCTTTTTCTTAGCTATTGTAGTTAGTGCTTTCCATACTGCTGTAGCTGCAAGTCTTTACACACACACACACACACACACACACACACACACACACACACACACACACACACAC